CTCTTGAAATGGTTGAACATTAATCATTTCCTTTTGGTACAATGACTGTGTATTCCTTCCATCTTTTCTTGATGCATTCTGCATCATTCAATAATTTGCCCAGAGAATCTTTCACTAACGAAAGTCGAGGCTTGGATTTTTTCTTCAGTTCCCCCAGCTTGAGAAATGCTGACAGTGTTCTTCCCTTTTGGTTTTCTAACTCCAAATCCTTGCATATTTTATTATAGTACCTGGTTTTATCTTCTCGAGCTGATATTTCACCAGTTAGTACAGTTAAAACTATTGAGTTACTATCCAACTCTGTTGATAGACCTTTTTACTTCAGAATTCTATTAGCAGTCTAAATTAACTTTTTGGTCATCCCATTTGGTTTCTGGTAATACAGCTAACAATTCTCAGCTATATATATTATAGTTTTTCAGATCCATGGGAGGTTCAGTACATTCTGCAAATCTGTAACTTACTAATTATATTTACAAAGCCTTGTTGTTAAGTGCCATCGAGTTGATTCCAACCCATAGCAACCCTGTATAGGATTTCCAAGGAGCCACTGGTGAGCTTGAACTGCCGACCATGCAGTTCAAACAGCTTTGCAGTCTGGTACATTAGCTCACTACACCACACCAGGACTCCCATATATATACACACACACATTAATAAGCCACGAGGTTGGCAGTTCAAATCCACCAGTGGCTCCTCTGAAACCCTATACAGGGTTGCTATGAGTCGGAACCAACTGTACGACACTTAACAACAACACTATTATTACATTATTCCTCTGTTTCCAAAGGAAAAGGAGCAAAAGTTGTATTTTGGTGGTGGTAGTGTGTGGTGGAAATGGTTCCAACTCATATCAACCCTGAATAGGGTTTTCAAGGCTGTAAATCTCTACGGCAGCAGAAGACCTCATCTTTCTCTAGCAGAGCTGCTGGTAGAGTCGAACTGCTGACCTTGCAACGAACAGCCTAATTCATAGCCCACAACGCTCTCAGTGCTCCTTAGAAATTAAACACATAAGTGCAAAAATTAAGGAGCTGTCTCCCAATAGTCATAGTTCTATAAATGGCTTGGGGAACTTCTGAAATCTAGGAAAGAAATACTATTTCTATTGTTGTTAAGTGCCATGGAGGCAGTTCCAAACTCACAGCAACCCTGTATAGGGTTTCCAAGGAACAGTTGGTGAATCTGAACCACCAACCTTGTGTTTCAAACTGACCTTGTGATCCAGTGCTGTATCCCACAGCGCCACACCAGGACTCCATTAATTCTATACAGATAGTCAGTATGAAGAAATTACTGAGCTCCAAAGCTAATAGTTGGTAGTTTCAGACAGCTAGCTCTCAATACCCAAACCCATACTACTAGATATGTGCTGTCATACCATTTACTGACTTTTACTTTCAAATTAACTAAAAATACAATCTAAGCTTTGATCTAAGTCAGAAAACTTCAGAATAAGTTAAGAACAAGGATGCTGACAGAATGTTTTATGTAATTATAAGCAGCAGGTTCAGGACTGGTTAAGCTTTCATATACTGCATTAAGATAAGAGTTAAGTACAGGACTTTCTGAATTGACTGGTGGTTGCCAAAGGCTGGGGGAAGGAGGTAATGGAAAGGTACTACTTAATGGTTAAATATGGATTTTCCTTTTTTGTTGTTATGTGCCGTGGAGCGGCATCTTTCTCGCGGAACAGCTGGTAGTTTCGAACAGCTGACCGTGCAATTAAGCTGCCTGATTCGTAACCACTATGCTTTGTTATTAAATGCAGAATTGACCCAGTATAGAGTTTTCAAGCAGCAGCTGGTAAGCTTGAACCACCGACCTTGCAGTTCAAACGACTTTGTGCAGTCTGACGCATTAGCCCACAGCGCCACACCAGGACTCCGCTTTTAGAGGGTGATGAAATTGTCTTTAAACTGCGGGAGAAAGATGAGGCTTTCTGCTACCGTAAAGATTTACAGCCTCGGAAACCCTGTACAGAGTCTCTGAGTCGATTCCGACTGCACAGCACATAACTACCACCATACACCATATATATATAATCTTTTTTTTTTTTT